GAAGCTGAGTGAGGAATTCTACACTTAGTATTGAGCTACGTTCTAAATGAGGTTACTAGAGGTACCATCTGGTTGCTTATACTTCTATTTTGAAGTCATCATTCTAGTGTCTCTACCAGTTGTTTACAGCTAAATTCTCATGCGAATCTAAGCATCTATTATTAGTAATAGATTGTAGACCAGATGGTGGTGCATTTACTGCATGTGGATATTCACTTCAAACAGCCTTCTGTAAGCCATTTTACTGCACATTATTCGGTTAATCGGTGCACAGATATCTACTATGGAGGGTGGGATTTCTATTATAAGATCCCAGAATAGATTTGTAGCTAAAGAGTGGAGATGTAGTTTGATGAGGTCTTAGGTGATCTATATTTGGCCGCAAATTTTTCTCACTAGATTCAATGGAATTAAAATGTATTATTATTGTTCCTTTAGGTTCTAAAAGGAACATAGGGCTACAGCAGCACGTCTCCACCTTGTCCTATTTTCTGAGGTCCTCTTCATCTAACCCCACAACTGTCCATTGTCTCTCATCTCCTCCTCACCTGATCTCTTCCATGTCACCATCGTCGTTCTCCATCTGAATTCCACCTAAAGAATAGTCTTGCGATGGCGCGATGTCATTCGACGGTTTCACTAACGTGTTTCTAACCCATCTTCATTTTCTCTTACGTATATGTCAAACAATGGGACCTTGGGAACAAATGTACGTCAGTGGCACAGTGGTTAGGACTCTCGCCGACCACGCACATGGTCCGAGGTTCGAACCCTTGCCGACAACGCACACCTGATATCTATGGTCGGCCTGCAAAATTTGGGCTACCGATATCCATGCTGAAAATTCCATACTTGTACCAAAAATACAGTGTGGAATCAAGCTGTAATAAAAAAACCAACCAAGAGCCTATTGTTCAACAAATAAGTGGGAGTAAAATGTAGATGGGTTGGACTTAGGGACACCACTGAATGACATCGCGCATCAGGCCATCTAGTGTAAACCGAATGGGAAACGACAAAATGGATTAACTGATCTTAACAGCAATGAGAACTGATGCTTGTTAACGCGTTACCTGCCTCAATACATGATGAAACTGACATAATCATTATTAATTAAAATCTTTGAAGTTTTAGTTATTATTGAACTGAGTTCATCTGTATGTGTCGGTGTTTGAGACTGTAGGATGGTTACCTTACTGTGACCTCCAATTCCTTTTTAAAGTTCTTTAGTAGTTGTTGTATGGGAGTGGTTTCTAGCCTAGGTAAGGAATATATATATATATTCAGGTAGAGACTATCAAAAGAGGACGAAACGGGTATTCTACCTCTACTCGTCATCTACCAAATGACATTACTTCTAGTTCTGGTATACTATCAGTTTCATAAAAAATTTATTGTTAAATGGAGGAAATTATCAGTAAAAGCGGGTTTTTCATGTTTTTCATAAACAGAGAAATGAAAATTCCCAAGTGTGGTTGATGTCATTCACTCGGTGCTTTGATTTATCATTCTACGTCGAATCCCTTTTCCTTGCATTTTGAAAATATTCACTTCATATGCGCATGACTAATGGATAACACTCTATGAACCCCAGTTCACACTGATTCTAAAAGTTCACCTGCAGTTGCAGGGACGTATATGTATATACAGGTGGAACCAATAGAATGTTTCAATGTCATCAGACACAACATGTTCCTAAATGGTAATTATAGAAATTCCGAATGTACTTAATTTGAATAGAAGCTCAGCATCATCTCTTGCAAAGCATTCATTAATATCTGTTCACAAAGTCAATATTAATGGCTATCCCTCAATTATTTTATATAACTTTAATTCAAGGTTATTAAAGGTAATGGAAGCATTTTGAATTAATCACCAATTGACAAAGGCTAAAATTCTTTGGCCTTTGAACTCCAGCCCAAGTGGATAAACGATCAGCAAGCTCAACCTCGTAGCCTGTAGGTCCTTGGTTCTATCTCAGGTGTATTCATAGGTGCGCAATAATGTACAGTCCCAAACTAGGGTGAAACTATTGTCCAGTACTATCTGGTTTTCAGTATGCGTCGGTGGTACACTGGTAGAATGCTCGCCGATCACGTATCTGGTTCGGAGTTCGATCCCCCGTTGATGAACTTCTTTACCTCGCTAAGCCATTAATAGGGCTAGTAAAGAGGAAAGGTTAGGTGTGAGACTAGTAGCTCCATCCTGTAAAAATGAACATCACTGCTACCGAAACTTCGAAGCTCTAGCGCGAAGCCCTGTGTTCCACTAGGGATGTGAGGGAATAAAAAAATCTGGTTTTCAGTGGTTCTATGACTGGTACCAATCCATGATTACATGCATCCAGAACTATATGTTTAGAAAACGACAGAATTCAACCTCCATATTCATGTACTATTTGACCTACAGAACTACGATTTGTTATTATTTTTCTACTCTTATTTTATACAATTAAGTGTCAAACATTTTATTATTGTGAACCCCATTAGTTGTAAAGCGATAGTCAAAAAACTATGAAATGTTGTCATCTCGAAATATTTGCCTTCTTAAAGCCTTACTTAGACTGATCTGAATTTGTTTTGGATATTGAAAAACTGCAATCCATCATCTCCCTTTATAATTATTTTCATATGTATATAAGTTTAGAGCGAAATTGTAACAGAGAAATTGGTCTGTATGTCAAGACTATATAAAAATGTTATTTATAGCTTTCGCGAAATGAAAGTATCCTGGACGGCTGATGCTTACAGATGCGTGTTTAAGGCAATAATAACACATTCAACAGGGGTTATAGCATAAATCTATACCGTTGATTTGGACAACATCACAGTCACACCCTCTTTTTCCAAATCCTAGTCATTATGCCTACTATCTATCTCCTTCTAAGAGTGTTTGATCTAGTTCACTAATAAATTGACTTCAGTCGCTACAGGTACAGTACCAACAACCATTTCAGATTTTAGTCAACTCTGATTTCCTTTTGGGTCACCACTAGGACACATTCTAGCCGACATTTTCCTTGCGAAACTAGAAAATGGGCCTTTGAAGGATTATATGAATGAACTCGAATTTTATTGTCGGTACATAGATGATACATTTTTGATTATGAAAAACGAGAAGGAAGCAAAGAGCATCCTAGATAAATTTAATGAGGTGCATCCTGTAATAAATTTTACTATTGAGAAAGGAAAAGACTCTTATATTTAATTTTTAGACGTCCTTGTGACCAGAAAAGAGGATGGCACAATAAGAAGAAGTGCTTGTAGAAAACCTACATCAACGGGCCAGTATACTTCTTATTTTCTCAGCTTTGTGTTCTTGAAATACAAACGCAATCTGACAAGTGCTTGCTTCACAGAGCAAGAGGAATTCGCTCGGACGAATGTCTTGATAAAGAACTTAACAATATTAAACGGTTGGTTGTTAAGTGAAAATGGTTGTCCTGAAAAGTTTATTGATAAGAATATGAATCTGAAACCAAATCAGTCCAAGTTACCAACAATTCCAAAAATGCCTTATTCTTACAAATGCAGTTCCTTGGGGACAGCAACAGCGAGATACTAACACAGCGCCTTAGAAATGCGGTAAAAAGAGCATTCCCTGCTGCCGAATTACGCTGTATCTTCAAAACCACTCCTCGTTTGCGTTCGGGAGTAAAAGATAAACTGCCTAATTTTGCCTCTTCCATGTGTATCGGGAATGCGTCATCTCCTAACCTGGTGCATGTCTAATCCCTTTGTGCGTCGGTGGCACAATGGTTAGGACTCTCGCCGACCATGCACATGGTCCGAGGTTCGAACCCCTGCCGACGCACACCTGATATCTATGGTCGGCCTGCAAAATTTGGGCTACCGATATCTATGCTGAAAATTCCATACTTGTACCAAAAATACAGTATGGAATCAAGTTGTAATCAAAAAGAAAGTATCTACCTATTTAACTGCTCCTGTGGAATGAGCTAGTTACATGGGCGGTAGAATTAGTCGTGTTTCTCGTCGAATTTCCGAACATCATCCTGGGTGGTTAAGCAAAGGTCAAATAAAATCTATTCACAGCGCTATTCTGCCTCATTTAGTGGAGACAGAACACAAGATTGACGTTAACCATACTTTCAGGGTCATTTAACGCATATCTACGAATCTTAATTTTGCCTTTAGAGTTCGACTACTACTAAATATTGCTGAGGCTGGCAGTTGGGATCCATATTAACAAGCCTAATTTATGCATCCAAAAGAAGGTAGTTCAGACATTATCATTACCTTGGCCATTCAGGTTGGAATAATCCTGAATTTTTGTGGAATTTCCCTAATTTTAGTTGATATTCTATTCGCCATTATATCTTTATTATTATTATTTATGCATCTTTATTGAACTGTAATTCCATCATGATCTTACTTTACAAATCAATATTATTTAATAAACACTCATATTGTTATTAATTACTAATCTAGAATATTCTGTGTATATAAACATATACATATAATTGTAGAGCTGGAAGAGGAATTTATCGAAAAGGATATTCTTTGCTCGATTATTTTGTGTTCCTTTGAATTCTTAATGAGCACATTCCTCTGCTTACAGTCAGTGGAACTGTTGTCTTATGAAAAGAAATAAGTAGATCGGCAAAGCAGCATGTTTCAGTACTTTTATTATTGTATAATGTGGACTATTTCTTGAATAGTATTCATAGCAGTAATAATGATTGTTATTATTATTATACTCATAATATACTGACTGTTAAACTGTTCCAATAATATTCTGAAGTTAATTGAAAAATGAAAAAAAATGAAAAAAAAGAAATCAATAATGGCAGTTATAATAACAACGATAATTTTGTACAAGCAATAGACAGTGCATGTTAATCACTGTTATATTCTTTCTGTTCTTCATACAGTTATTATAAATGAAGAAGTAATGGTGATAATGATCGAACGGTGGAAGAGGAGGATGTGAAAAAAAATGGAATTCCAGCTGACGCAGAACAGGGGAACTAGTTCAAGTTATTCATTATCTGAAATCTCATTACTCATCTCAGAAGGTGATAGTTCAATGTTACCTTTTGTGGGATCATTCTCTGTTAATTTTATTGTTGATGCTGACGACGACGAAGATGGTGATTTAGTTTTCACTTCATTAGATTTAGTCATTGACGATGACATTGATGGTGTTGAAGTGGCTGATGAAGAAGTAGTGCTTACCGATAAAGGCGAGGATGTTAAACGTCTATGACTACGTAGTTTTCCGCATACATTATGACTATCTTTAAGCGTTTTATGCATTCCAGTGTGATTATTATTATTATTACTGATTTGATGACATCCAATATTGACTGGTTTACTACTGAGGGATAAAGAGACTTCATTCGGTGATGGTTTTATTGGGGATTCAGGTGGAGTTTTTGAGTTTATACTATGCAGTGACAAAAGATCACCACCATCCTGTTGACTATTTGTCGAGGATTGTGTAGAACTAGTATTTGACATACTTTCCAATCGACAGTTGGGATTCACATTAGTGGAACACTTGTTAATATTTATAGTGCAATTAGTAGCAACACTAGCCGGTGTATCTTGGACACTTGTATTTACCGATGTTAAGGATTGATCAACTCGAGATGTATGATCATTGACCTGAGTTTTGCCTAGAATAGCAGCTATCTCTGAAGTAACAAATGCCCATGGTGATTTTGAACCTGGTAAAACACACTTTTTACCACTAGGACAATAAATTTCCAAAAGCTTCAAGCTATTTAAATTACCGCTTCTCAGAGTTTGATGTTCATTCATCATTCTTTCAAGATAATTTCTAGCACATTGAAAACAAAATCTATGCTCTGGATTAGCAGGACACTGAACAAAATGACTACCTTCTAAATGACGTGGACATAGATTGCAGAGTATTCTTTTACTAGGTGATTTTCTAGGCTGCAGTAATGGTTTCCATTTCTTCAATGGATCAGTCATTCTATCTGATGGATTATTCATATTACTGATATAATTATTCCCGACATGACTTTTACTACCATTGAGTTCATTGTGAAGATAACTTTGAGCATTTTCAAGTCGGGGTTGTTTTTGATTTATACCATACATTTGATTGAAATTAGGATCATCTGAACTATAACTATTCGAGTTTCGTTTTCTTGACAAATTCAATGTTTCAACAGTTGTACTATTTAGCATATTGATTTGTTTTAATAAATCTCTAGGCAGTAATAATGGTGTTGTAGCTGATATCTGTTTTTGAATAAATGGTTGATAAATCAACTGGATTATCAACATGATCAAGTCAATAAATGGTGCCCAAATAATTTGATTAATATTATCTCTACCCACTTCATATTCAAAGTCTTCAACTCCTAAACAGTTGACATCATTATCAGTAGTGTCATCACCATTGTTATTGTTAACATCATTATTTAGGTGTTTCTTCTGATGACTAACTCTTGCGCTGATTAGTTTAACCAGCTGATGAAAGCCTTTACATGTATTTGATGAACCAATAGGATATTCAAAAAACATTATATTCACTAGATTACTACTATTCTGTTCTGAATGATTATCATCCTCAATAATAAGGGAAGTATGATTTAATCCTAAGAAATGGGCTTGAATATTTGATTGATGACGTAATCTTATAAGAATAGGCAGTTTTAACTGTTGTGCTAATAATAAATTGGAATGATTTGAATTCATGTTCAGTTTAGACAACTTTCCAGTATGACAGTTTTCATTAAATAGATATGGATGTATCAGTGGATTTAATAGATTTCCTGTAGAATTTAGAATATTTCCTGGATTCGCTTTATTCTGAGGATTCACTCTGTTTACAGTACTATTCAATATTTGATGATTTTCTTCGTCGGTGATCGTTGGATTTGAGCCTAAAATACTTCCAATGATTTGTATATAAGTTGTTAGTAGACGAGAATTCCATAAAGACTGTAATGCTGACTCTGGTATCAAACCATTTTTTGGTTCTGTAACAGAAGTTTCTATCGTGTCATCATTTAGAAAGGCATTCATTTTAGGCGTATTCAGCGAATTCATTTCATTCGGATTCATGACAACATTAGGTATTGAAGAACTTATTATATTGTTGACTATATTATCACTTTGTGGTGATACAATAACTCCTTTATTTTGATGATTACCTTTAAATTGAACTGTTGAACAGTCGTCTGTTGTGTTTGAATGTTCTAATTGATCTTCAGAAGAGAATACTGTTTTAGAATTTAAATTTGCTAATAAAGAAGCATTCGACGCTAAGGATGGTAGTGAGACATACTTTAAAAAATTCATACAAACATCTTTTAAACGGTTATCATAATCACGTTGTTGTGGAGAATTCCCAGCATTACTTGTAATAGTCGATGATGAGGATGACGATGTTACTGCAGTTGAAGATATATTCCCTGAAGTTGGTTGTATATTACCTCCTGTAAACATACTTATACTTTTATAAATATCATCGTTAATTTGATTATTTAAAAGATGTGAATCAATGAAACGATTTACTTCAGAATTTTTATTTATTTGTGTTTTAAACGTCAGTGATTTGTTTATATCTAATGGTGATTTTCTTGGCTCCATATTTAAATCACTGAATGAAATATTACGTTCATCATGTGTTGATGATGTTGATAAAGATGCAGTATTAGAGGAGTATTCTTCTTGCTTATCATTGACAGTTCTCTGATGATAAACACGTGGTAAATAATGCATTTTCATTAATCTAGCCCGACTAAGAACACATTCTATCCTGTCAGCTCCTTCATAATTGACACAACCACGACAAACTGGTTCACTGAATTCTGATAGCATTGCCCATGGATAACGTGGTAAATCACATAGGTAGCATTGAATACGTGTTGGGACAAAATTAGGCATGGTATTTAAATCCTCAGATTGTCTTGCAGTCATCTTCAAATATACAAAGTGTAGATTATCAATTCAAAATACTGTCTAAATATTAAATGTGCTATCACAGAAACTATTAAGTTTTAATATAAAGAAAATTGTTTAACTACTCCAAGATATACGAACCATAAATTTGATTTTGTATGCATATTATTTTGGTGAATGACACTAGACAGTAAGGAATATTTATTGTGACTAACTTAATCCAGGAAAATGATAAACTAATATTTGATCCATTTGCGTTCAAGGTCAATATTAGTTGACATCTGATTGGTCTATAAATTAACCAATAGTTTGTAAGTAATTTGCATTTTTAAAGCCAAAAAAAATCGTGAAATGTTTCATATTTTTTTAAAGCCAGTTCATCAAAATAAAAGTACCAGATAGAATAGAGTTTATTCGTGCTTAAAATGTAAACAGACAAATTGGAAGTCTGATGCAACCAAGCATTGGTAAAAAGATTTTTTCAAACCAAAATAATACTTTCAGCTAACTAAGAAGAATCATGCGAATCTATGCTTTAAGTAATCTTACAAAAATGAAAATGAATTTCATAATAATCCTATCCAGATTTATTATAGCGACTTACTGTTTTAAAGTTTATAAAAGTCAACATAGATTATGGCAGTCGTAAACATCAGCTAGTATTATTATTATTGTTCCCTTGGGTTCCTAGTGTAACATAGGGCTTCAACTGCACGTCTCCACTTACTCCTGTCTTTCTTCTGCTGTACTTTTCACCTGCATCCATGTTAGTCCATACTCTTTCAACTATTCTTCACACTGTCTCCTCCATGTCACCCTTGGACGTCCCAAACGCCGCTTCCCTTTCCGGTTCAACTCGACCAATGGCCTGACGCGCGCGCGATGTCACTCACCCACCTCCTCAGGCAGTGTCCAATCCATCTCCACTTTCTACCGCAGATTTGTTGGGCCATTGGTTCTTCTTTTAATTGTTCGCATAGATTCTTGTTGGTAATTGTTCCGGGCCCGGCCATCTGATCTTCACTTTAGAGCGAAGACAGTTGTTGATAAAGGTCTGCAATAGCCTGTTGAAAATATTCTTTGTAACCCACCCGTCAAGTTTCTGATGCGTATATAAGAACTGACTTGATGTTTGTATTGAAAATCCTACCGAATTTTGTTGTTGATGTTGGCTGAGTGACGAAGATTTCCAGATTGGTTTCAGGTTGATGAATGTGTTTCTTGCTTTGCAGATTCTCGATTTGACATCCTCGTCCGTTCCTCCTGCAGTTGAGATAGTGCTCCCTAGATAAGTGTATGAAGTAACCTCTTTCGAGTCCCTCCCGTTGATGGTGATTGACGCTGGATGCTGCTGTTGTTGCTGGTTGGTTATTTTCATAACCTCCGTCTTCTCTATGTTCACTTGGTAACAGTGGAGAAAATAGCCATCAGTTTTGCGTCTGCAAGTTAAAGGAGACAGTCTTTCGAAAATTCTGTCTCAACATCTAACCAGAGTATTAAAAAAGATTTTCCACTCTAGACATCTGTTCCTATTTAGAAGCCGGCCAATGTTCACCTCGAGACTAAGAGACATTTTACCTAATCTTAGCTTTTCCTGATGTACATATGGCTTTAACTATTCCTGTGGTTTAAGTTATGTGAGGCTTACAGTTAGACAGCTTTGTCTACAAGTTTGAAAGCATTTGCCAGTCTATTACGGAAACAGTGGAATAAAATGGTTAACAAATTCAGTCCTGTCACACTTGGTGGTTACAGGGAGTCTCACTAAAACGACATTCTGAACTCAGCAGCATGCACATTTCGCCTACATCTTCTACATATACCTGAAGCAGTTATAACAACATCAACTATACCAGGACTGTGTATTCAAAAAGAACCCTTTCAGGTTTTGTTCCCGGTAAGATCATGTTCGGATGAAAAGTTCTTCTTGCATCCAAGGATACCTTATCCTCTCATCTTTCTGCTTTTTAACTTATTTCCACATATTTACCTCCACCCTTTTTGCCCTGACAGTTTTGGTTACAGTGTTGTAAAATTTATATCCTTCACTTGTGGATTCTTTCAATACTGTCGAACTTTCCATTTATATAGATACTAAATACGATTCTGATTCATTATAGATGACATTATCTCTTTTCTCACTATATGACCCTGCATTATTTATACCACTGAAGTCCAAAAATTTCCAGCTCACCAAACAAGTTTTATAATTGTGGAGCAACTTTCAAATTTCCCTTCACTAAATTGCATATGAACCTATTATGATTAACCCCGCTTCATCGTCTCGCATTTCACAGTACTTTTCAAATGATTTAAGCCCATTACGTTTTTCTGACGAATACAGCTTCGTTCCTGTCAAGTACAAAAGAAATTTAGTGAAGACCCTCAGCCACAGAGTTAGAGCTATATGCTGAAAAGAAGTAACTGAAGATGAATTAAGCATTGAATATGATACTTTGATCGAAAATAGCGATCCCGAAAAATTTATCAAAAAACATATGACAAAGAAAGCGGAAAAGGACTACTCACTATCTGTAAACAAGAAACCACTTTATACGCGACTATAATTCAAAGGCGATATACCAAGCGAAATAATGACGAAGAAATTAAGGAAATAAGTTCAAGGAACTTTCACTGCTGGCGAACTACACATCTTATTTTCTACACCACCGATGGTGATTCCTCGACTTAAAGATGAAGTACCTAGACTAGACGCGTCACTTCTAATTGTATCTGCCTATTCATTTGCACTTGTGGAACCAGTTATATCGGCCGTTGCTCTAGGAACTTGATTTTTCGTGCTTGAGAGCATCTCCCGCTATGGCCAAGTAAAGGTGTAGTGAAAACCATTAATAGTTCGATAATGGACCATCTGGTGCAAACCGGCCACAAAGCCAGAGTGGAAGAATCCTTCTCTATCATCTACCGGGTGCCTAATAAATTGCCAAAATCATCGAAGCACTGCATGCTCCAAACAGCAGAGGCTAATGCGATTCGCCTCAAACAACCAGTGCTCTGTGTTCAAAAGAAGCAAGTCCAGCCCCCTACTATTGCCCTGGCCTTCAGTAGAAACTATAAATTCATGAATTTGTAATACTATCTTTCCTAGTTTTTTCTGACATTCAGCTTATTTTATGTTGACGCTATTGAGCTGTAATATATCAATATTATTGATTTGATGTTATTGATGTTGTTCATAACACTAACTCATTCATTCATTCACTATAATGTATATATAACTGTAGAGCCTGATGACGAAGTTATCGAAAACAGTACTCTTTGTTCAGTATCCATTCTTTTGAATACTGTTTACTTTGTCGCTCTACGACTAATCTGTTGCGCCACATAAAAATGTATCCGCCACATAACTGCGCATTATTGTAATGATTACAAATACCACATTTTGTAATTGTAAGAACCTAATGAGAATTTATAGAAAATAATATTCTTCCTTCACACCAACTTTTAATTCATGATATGGGGATACTTCACAGTATTATATCTTAAATGCCCAGGTCCCCCAAAAGATATCATTCCTTAGTATGGAGAATAAGAGCTTAATGGCAAGAAGCATGACTGTATTCATTTTGCTGATGCTTCTAGACAAAATGTGTATATATTCATTTAAAAAGTCGTTAAAACTGTCGTCAGTGAGAAAGGTAGGTGTTATTGTGCGTTATCCCTACTTAACATTTAAAGCAGACTATACTGTAGATGATGTTAAGAAGGTAAACTGTTTATGATTTAGCTAGACCAATGTGTTCAAGTAGTGGTTTGTAGGGATTTGATTGATTGGTTACAGGATTTCATTATGAGCTGACATTGGTCAGAGAACCCTCGGAAAACCTGGGAGTACCGAACAGCTGTGGGAAGTCGTCAACACTAGGATGCAGCAAGTCAGGTGTGAGGACAAATACTCGCCGAAGACATTGGCTAGTGATCACGCTATGTCGTAAATTGGCAGAAGTTAGAATTCATGGACCATTGGATCGAGTCCCAGTGGCTTAATGGTATACGAGCCCGCTAGCCTTGTAACCAGAAGGTCCTGGGTTCGAATCCCGGTGGGTGAGCATTACTGAAGAGTCCCAAACTAGGACGAAACAGTTGTCCAGTACACCCTTCAGGTTTTCCAGTGGTTCTCTAACTAATGTCAGTTCATGATGAAACCCTGCAACCAATATATTAACATGTTTTAGGAGGAAAGAGTGAGAAATGAAACAAGACATCTATTCTATAAAAATTGTTGAAATGGAAACTAAGTTGTTAAACGACTCTGAAACGGTGTTAGGAGTATGATAGATTAGTCAAAAATACATCAAGAAAAATAAATTTTCGGGATGAATTTCCTCACGAAATCATATCAATTAAAGAACTATCGAGAACTGGGAAGTTGTGCATATCTGTTTTGTCCTACATTCAAAACTGTGTTGGTGTAGTTATGTTTTCTGAGGTAGATATTTCAGTCGTAAAGCTTTGATTGTCTTTCTAGAAAAAATCCTCTGAACATCTTATAACGATTAAAACCTAATCGTTGTCATCTGAACTCAAGAAACCGATCTCTGAGTTCAACTGTATAGCTGACCGAAATTTCTTTTTGGGGACATGCACAGTCACAAAATGCTCCAAAGACAGAACAAAGATGGATGTTCATCGATAGATTTATAGTTCTATTGAGTGGTTATAACATAAAAAACCAAAATTACCTCAACAGTGCAGATAGATAGCCATACAGTGAAGACAACGTTTTAAATACACAATGAGTACTGCAGAAGAAAATTAACTGATCGAAATTCAACTGTAAGAAGTACCTGTGAATCAAGTAGAATATTCCCAACAAGAATCATATATCAACTATTCCCCTAGACAGTTCAAGTTCAGAGTGACCTTCATTCACTCAAACAAAATCAATTCGTACAACAACACATAATCACACAGCTACAAAGAGAAGTATTAAAATCAGGGATTAAACAAGAACAAAGAAAATTAATAAGGATCAAGTGAACATATGATATGCAAAT